CCCCAAAACCCCAAAACCCCAAAACCCCAAAACCCCATCATTCTTTAAAAAATTGAATTTGAAAATGGAGCCAGAAACAGTAGATATATCTACTCTTTTATCACAATGCATTAGAGCCAATCTTCCCAGCACTTTAGACTTTGCAAAGGTCCAAGTGGACAGGATTAATGCTGAGATGAAGATATAGGAAAGCTTAAGGAAATCGATCCAGAAAAACTTGGTAGCAACCTTCTTCAAGTTGTAGTTGATGACACTCAGCAATCAGATATCAGACAATTAGCTTGCATTATGTATAAGAATCTGTACTTCGAGAAAAAGCAGGAATCTAAATGGAGCGAAGTTCCCAAAGAAGCACAAGGAGAATACCTAGATCGTATTTTGCCTCTTTTAGCAACAGAGCATGATGGATTCCAACTCGCTGTGTGCAATTTGTTAGCAAACTGATTCTTTAATGATATGATGATGCTTCTCAACTTCTTGAAATCCTATCAGGAATCACTCGATGTCAACTTCAAAAGAGGTGTCAGAAGAGTCCTGCTGTTTACTCTACAAGATTATGGATATCTTTCGCTAACAGAAGTGCAAACAAGGCTATCAATTCCTGTAATTCTAGATATCATCCAAGAAATATCTTATGACGAAGAATCGATGATGATCCTCACAGCTGGATTAATTTATTGAGTTGAAAATAACAAGAATGTCTTCTCCAAAGAGGACATAAAGCTTATTATAGAAGATATCTTCATCAAGGTCAGTAAAGCGAAGGCCACAAAAACGAAAGATTTGAAACTCCAAGCATTCTTGAAAACTCTAATCCAGATGTGCCTTGATAATTCTTCTCTGATAATGGATAATCTTTCATTGATAAGAGATATCACTACCTTATCCATATTCAGAGGAAATGAGAAGTCTAAATCTCTTTCACTTGAGATATGGAACTCAATTCTTCATTTTAATTATGAATTTATAACTAAAAATCCTGACTCTACAAAGGAGCTACCATGACTAGATTATTTTCCTGGTCTGATCAAGATAAATTTGAGCTTGTTTGAATACCTCAGTGTTTATACTAAACCCAATGAGCAGTTGCTGGAAAGCGCGACAAACTGAATGTACTGGATGAATCAGCTGATCGATGAAGAAATGATGAGTGTTCTTATCAATGCTACTAAAGAAAGGATCGATTCAGAAGAGCCTCAAAGCAAAGCAGCTGGCTTGCTTACACTTACTTGAATTCTAACTTCCTTACCTCAAGAGACTGTGATTGAGACTATTATCCATATCCTGCCAAATATAATCAAGCTATATTCTCATAAATCAAAGGTAGTGATTCTTCACTCAGTAAGGCTGATCAGAAAAGTTGTTGAGAACTATTTCCCAATTCTAATCAATGAAACTGCCATCAAAATTTGGCAGGTCTGAGCAGTTGCAAGCCTAAAAGAAGAATATGATATTTTCATTGAAACTTATGAAACTCTAAAGTTAATTTTTGGTCAGCCAAGAGAAGCCCCCTTTCTTCAACCATTCGGGGAGCAACTAGTTATCTCAATGATAGATCTCTTGATAACTTTCACAATCGATTCTGTAAGGAAGAGAGAAGTAGAGAAAATTTATGAGCTTGAAAATACACTCTATAAGTTCTTAAGCAGGGATCCAAAGAATTGCCTAAATGAATACTACTCCTTCATTTTTAAGATTTTTGAGGATACCTATAACAATAAATCTGTAAGCACTCTGCTCATTTTTAGGAAGAAGTAGGCAAGCATAAACTTTTGCTTTGAATGAATCTAATTTGTGTCCTGCCTCCATTAGACATGGTCACTCCAAATGGTAAACAAGTTGGAACAGTATTAGAAGTAAGCAACTACCATTACTCTCTAAATTGTTTTAGGTCATGACAAAGTACCTTGAGTCAGTACAGAGTGAAGGTAAGACTTAAACTTTATCTCTAGATCAAATCAGCAACAAAGCTATTCCAAACTATATAATCACAAAGGCAGATAGTGTAATTATAGAAATCAATGAGATCCAATCAAGAGGGCCTTCTCCAGAGGATGATTGGCTGTCCTTAGTCCTTGAGGTGGAATACATCCGCTCAGAGTTCATTAAAATCAACAACCAGCCATAAAGATATGATCCAATCTGAGTCTTCATCTAAGGGGTTTTGGGGTTTTGGGGTTTTGGGGTTTTGGGG